ACTGTACCCATATGATATATATGTTTAAAATAATAATAATAGCTTTAAAACCCATGGCAACCATTTATACCTAAACAAAAAATTCCAATCGGAAATATCAAAATCCCTGTTTGAGCACCTCCCGGGGTTGGTCCTCTCTCTTTTTAAATTAGCCTATCTTTTGCCCAGAGGTCTAATCTATTTCTATACCAAGTTTCATCAACATTGCTTCTGCCTTTTAAGAATACATAAAAGACAAACTGACAGAATGACAAACATTCATTTTAATTTTTTATAAATTATATAAATTAATTATATATTATTTATATAATTTATTTATACATTGTATCATCTAGTGCGCATGCACCGTGTAATTCAGGAACACCCGGACGTCTGACCGCCGAAACTAGGTAGATCTATGGGCGGATAGGCCCATCGGAAAATCAACATTATAAGAGGCCCCCCGATCCTGAAAAAAAAATAATAAAAAAAATTTGAAAAGTTAATTTTTATAATACCGGTTGGCGGTTGCTTGCCTGAATGCGTATTTGTAATTTTTGTATACTCAAATTAGCCATTAGAGCCTTATGTGGCTCTGTGTAATACCTATACGCGTTGATACCCTTATAAATATATACCACAGATATAGATAATATATATTAATATATATATTATCTATATCTGTGATATATACTTATTGGCTATTATCAGGGCCGTATTTACACTTTTTACATTTAACAATATTTGTACACCCCCAAACCAAAAAAAATATGAATCTGTTTTTTAATTGTTTAGTTGTAGTTTTTTATTTATGAAAATTTTGTTTAAACAAATCATGATGATATATTATTTTGATTATTGTAAAAATGTATAACAATACATACAATAATTGTAATCTATAAAAAAATTACAAAAATAAATAGTTGTCATTCATTGACAAAATGAGTAAATGACGCCAAACGGCCGTATAATCATAGTCATACAATGCAAAAAGTACTCAAATAAATTCTTACCAAAAAAAAAATGTTACTTACATAATATACACAGCCACATGGCGGACCCCTAAATAAGTCAAAAATTTGACACCCGGGGCAAAAACACGGCCCTGGCTATTATACTGAATGTACTATGGTATATTGGTACTAACTACTAAAATTAAAAAAAGTATAAAATGTAAATATAAATTAATATATTATACATTATTACATTTGCCAGCGAGCATTTTTTTTTATATATTATATAGAGGCCGTTGTTATAATATGAGGCCCCAATAAATATATTCCGGTAAAAACAAAAGTACCTATCCGCCCATGGGTACCCATAGTCCGTCTACTAGTATATAAGGTCTATGGATGCCTTAACCATTTATCGGATCATCACTTATTGTTTTAAATTTTATGCGTTTGCTTTACGGTTTTTTACTCACGTCCTCGAACTCGATGAAAACAAAGTGGTTAGAATCGCAAATCATTGACGACGATGCTTATTCCTAGTGTGCTATACTGCTACATTTTATTACAATGGCGTCAAAGACCATAGTTGTAACTTGTACCTAAAAAATGTACCAAACCAAAAGGCAGCATAGATTTATGAGTATCGATTGTTTTACAAGTCCACAATATTAACGCACCTCGTGTAATAAAGGTTTACATTAATCATAAACATTTACTCGTATTACCATATAGGGTAATTTGTGGAACTAAATGTATGTCTATACTTAAATCGTAATTATATTTATATTTAAGTAGTGGGTTAGATAGGGGGTGACTTGGCGATCGCCACTCCCCCCTTTGACCCTTGGACTATCTTTTTAATGTTATTTGTTAATATAATATATAGCCAAACAAAAATATAATTTCATTTTTGAAAATACGCCCCCCCTCCCATTGTTGACGTCTGGATCCGCCACTGATTAGTACACAGTATAATATGAAAATAAATATAAATTTAATAATATGTGATATAATATGAACCTATTATATAGTTATACATTTGTCATCGAATTGATTAAACAATAAGTAAATACGAAGATACAAGATACAACCAGTATACCAACTGCCCATACAAATCTATATTGTCATTGACTTATAATTATATATTTTATTTTTATTAATCAATACGATTAAAATATTTAAAAATGTTACTAGCTCGCTGATAAATTTAAAATTGTATAGTCGCTACCCATGCCCATACGTTTGTTGTCTACGACTCACGAACGTACGACATGGCAAATTATGTATTAGTTAGGGGGGGGGGTAAAATAATTTGCGATTATATAATGTAGAGTTTATGTGTGTCATGGACGCGCGTGTGCGAAAACAACCTTCCCCTTCTATAACGAGATCATCACAGACAATGGCCATTTATTACACTCTCGTTGGTTTCAAGGCCACGATTCGCACGCAGAAATCGCGTTATTGCCATACAGAACTATACAGATTAGACTACCTGTTGCTTTGGCCACGAACAATGTACTTTTTTCGACATTTTTCGATTATGTTGCAAAGTTGTTATTGGTCATTTAAAACTGATAAAGAGTGACATAAATCTTAATTATTATTAGCCTTAACTCTTTTTTAAATATGCAGACAAAATTATAATATAGTTTTTAATACTTTTTAAAAGACGCATACTATTAAATTTATCATTAATACATTCTTTTGGTATTAAGAGGGTGTCATACAAATCATACAACTGATTTATAGGAGGTATGATGTAGGTAATTTTAATGAAAATCTGAGAAAATGTTTTAAAATTTATTAAATACCTATTATATAAAATTAAAACTAATTAAAATGATTGTATTATAAGCTAGTGATGGCTCGCGATGTTCGCGTAAAGCGGTGTACACAATTTCTTTTTAAGATATTATGTCATTTAAACACTTTTTTATATACATACCAAAAATACTTTACTAGATTATTTTTAAAAAAACCTTTAGAATGGGAAAATAAAAACAAATTGAAAAAAATAATAAATGGTATAGTTTTGATGATGGTGGCGTGGCATATGGCATGATAAACATACATTTGATGCACAAATTAATACTGTCGTCCCAAATAATATGTCATATAGGTCGAAGTATCAGTGTATGTAAATAATATTAGTGCTTCTGTTCTGTACACTATGAATTTGTGCTCGGTGAAATTATCTAGTTAGGCACGCTTGTTGTAAAAAAAATTATAATTGTTTTAAAATCCGTTATTTTTAGCAACCTAACCATGGTGAATTTTCAGAAAAATAAACCGTTAAAATTTTCATAGCCTCTTAGGACCCAAAATAAACAATTTAACATAAGTTTTGGATGTTCTAAAAGTTTTTAAATATCAAATTCATATCTTCGGTTCATTTGAGTAGGTTAGGTTAGATAATGGATTGAAAATTATAATTTGTTATAGCTGTTATGAGTTATGACTTATGAGTATGAAAATAATAACAGTTTAAAAAAAACTAATATCTCGCATTAATATTAAAACTCGTAAAAAAATGGACAGCTTTAAGTTACGTAAACTATATACTAATGCTAACAATATAAAGTTCGTTCCGTTTGATAGCAGAACGAGCAAAATATTAAGTATACTACAATATACTATTTTCTAAAAAATCAATTGTTAAATATAATATATAATATATTAATATGTTAAACTAGGTAAAATATGACATGTGAGCACTTAAATACGCCCCTGATGAAAACATCTTGTAGAGATTTTTTCACAAATATATTTAAGTATAACTAATAACTATATAAACAAATTTATTATAAAAATACCTCTACCAGAATAAGAGGCAATGATAAAATTATTCTTCTCACTCAAGTAAGTATAGAAGTATAAAATACGTAGAATGACGTCGTAAAGTATCGTACATTTGCATCGTAAAACCAAAAATGAAAACAGCTTTCTAATTTTAAATTATTGTTATTATTATTATTATTATTATAATGGTTCTGAATATTTTGTATTCGACTCTTAAAGTATATGTCTTTCAAATTCACATTTTTAAAAGCAAGTAATTTTACTACCTACCGGCTACCACAATAATTTAGAATATAGGTACATTAAATCTCTATATAAATATTATTTTTGCTTTGCCTCCTATTTTTATTTATAAAAGTACTTACATTTTTCTTGGTGACGTTAGTTAAATAAGCAAAAATAAAATGTATATTGATTAATGATTAGGAAATAATTATTATACAATAATAATATACGTAATATATGTAATACGAATACCTACTCCCCCCCTAAATTACACAACAACTGTTGTAGTGCTATTGTGATTTATGATAGAAACTATCATATTGTTCTAACGGTAACAGTATCTTTGGTTATTTAATTATTATATATTTTAAATATATTTAATATCATTATTCAACTACCTATAACTGGTCGATCCACCCCATGGTCCTCAAAATATTTTTTTTAGAAGAACATCTAGAAGACATAAATTATATTGTAGTAAATATATTTAATAATTTAATAATTTTATGAGTGTGATCGAAAAAAATAATGAATGTTCAAATTGGCTTCTGAAAAACAAATAACAATACCAATTAACCTATCGGCTATCACATCTTAACTATTAAAATTCAAATTCTATAAATATACTATTTAAGTTAACAAATCATGATAATTATGAATTAATAATACTTTGTAATGTGATAATTTTGTGTATTATATAATATATTTGTTATAAAATACAAAAACCATGATACTTGGGTGATGTCTGCCTCTGTGACATAGGGAAGAGGTGGTATTCAGAAAAAAACAGATATAAGAGAGTAGGTAATGAAATATTTCAAATTTTGTAACCTAATTACTTCTTTTGTTTATACCTCGAGAATCACTAGGTAAAAATCTATTATAAAACGATGATTTTAAATAAACATATCAATTCGGTGCAATAAGCTGAAAAGAGGCAAAAATCAATGAACGTAGTTCGAGCTTTAATATTTCGCGCAGTAAAAATTAATTTTAAAGCGTTTGATTCTCAAAATCATGTTAAATTTTTATTATTGTACGTTATTTTTTATTTCTATTACATATATGTATATCTGGACAATTATTGGGTCTTATCTTATGTCTGCAGATGTATTCATTTTTCCATAAACGTGCTGGTGGGCAATTTGGAAACGGGATATCCATGCAGCCTATTCTAGTACAGCAACCAGCATGTTTACACGAATCTTGTAAGCCGTTAAGTTTTACACATAAACAATTTTGAATCTGAAAAAAAAATGGATTTTATTATCTTTTACAAAGTAGCGATGAGGGTACAGAAGGTGTTAAAGGTGTTAACTCATTGTTAAGTGGTGTATTTTATTTTAATCAATATATTATAATTAATATATCTATTACTTATATCTATTATAATATTAATATATTAACAAAATTATATAGGTACAATGTACATAAGTGTGCGAGGACATTATCGGCAGGGTCTTTATATATAATATAAGTATTCACATTTAATCTTAAGTTCTGTATTAAGACTTAAGAGCTATTTGGGAATGGCCAACAGAGAAGGGTAACCATTTCCACTCTTACCATCATACTAATCACATGATCATGCAATACTATACCACATTAAAAAAAAAATAATTTACAAATTTACAATATTATCTATAAATTATGATATACTATTAATAATAGATTTATAGTACTATATTCACTAGTTAGTTGTCACACTTCTTATTGTATACATAGGTGCAATTAGTGTTTGAGATTTGAGGGGGGGGGGTCTGAAGCCAAAATTTTTTCATATTTTTCCAAGGTGTGTAAAAATTTAAGTTCATTTGTGGGGATGCAACGGTAAGGGGTAGGAGGACTCAGCCTGATCTATAATTTTTTTTATGACATTGAACTTACTTATAACACTTGTATTATTAATTTACATATTTACATAACTTATATTTTCAGTTACTTCAATCAATATATCCCAACATTACACAACAACCATCAAATCACCCCTCCTCTAGTTGCGTCACTACCCTAGCTATTACCATAACAATGCAAGGCTGTTATGTATAGAAAACAATTGCACTTAAATAGTCGACAAGGGATCTCAAATCACAAACCCAACTGTATGGAGTAAAATATTAAACTAACAAAAATTATATTTTATGTTTAATATTAAGATATAATTTTTTGAATAATATGCGTATAATTATGTGTTTCATTAAATTATTTGTCATATACACTTATTTGTATGCTCTTAAATTTGATAAGAAAGGTAATACAAAAATGTTGACTCACTAATCTTCCAGTTCTTAAAACGAATTCTTTTCCGTACGGTGTCAATTCGAAATCGTCACAATCGGCATTTATCGATGAGCAAAAATTGCCTTTGCAAGGTCTTAGTTTTTCACAACAATCGACACGGATCAAAGGGGTCGGTGCAACGGGTGATAAAGTACAACATTTGTAAAATTGCCCGGTTTTATTTGTAGGACTTGGATATTCACAATCTACTTTTCTGACCGGCTCTTGACACGTCTTATATGCAGTCTCCGGCTCCGGATAACATTTCTGATAATGTGGTGAATTAATTTAAAGATCGATATATAAAATCAAAAGCCTAGTATTAAATTATTTGTATTGATGAATTTTTAAATATGACTATTGTATTATATTATTTATTTATCTACGAAACGTGGGAAATATTTTTTCTCATAGTATTATTTTTAGATATACTTGGCGTTTGACAACTTAAATATAACTTAAATATAATATTATACAATAGTAATCTCTTAATTAAAGGTTATTGATATTTAATATTTGTAAATGACTGTATTATAATATAATATATATCAACAATTTTACCGGCTCTTTACAGGTCTTAAATGAAGTATTTTGATCGCACGCAGGCTCCATATGACAGTTCTGATGTTGTGGTAAATTCATTTCAAGATAGATATAAAAAGTTAAAATTAAAAGTCTGGTTTTAAATTGTTTTAAATTTAAATATGTCTATTTATAAGAAATAAAAATAATTTACCTATGTAAAGGAAAATAATTTTTCTCAAAATATTATTTTTAGTAATGCTTGGCGTTCGATAACTTATTATGAATATTATACAATAGTTAATATCTCTTAAAGAGGATGTCACACCCTTATGTGTTGTCTCCGTCTAACAAATGTACAACAAAACAAAAACTGTTTTGGGCCGGAAACTTTTATCTTTCTGTGTTTGTAGTAGTGGTTCCAAAATTGCTGAACATATAGGGTGGACAATTATCTATGCAACAACGTGCCCATATTTGAGATAATATAAATACAATAAAAGTAATTTGATTCTAAACATTTGGTTTTTTTGTTTTTTTCATTTGCTTATAAAAAATGATTGGATAGTGATATTAATAAAAAAGAGCACGGTGTTGCACTGATAAAGTTCTACTTTAATTTGGTAGTTCTACAACCAAAAAAGAAAAAACTATTTTTTAAGGGCCAACTTTACTCCCTCTGTATTTATAGTAGAATTACCAAAATTCCACAACGCATAGGTATGAACTTTATCTGTGTCGTAAAGTTTTTATTATTTGGATAATATACATTAGTTTAAGTTTTTTTTGTTTTTTTTAATTTAATTATTAAAAAATATTGGTTAGTGCTGTAAAAAAATTAAAAAACTACGACATAGCTACATTTTTCCATTTGTGTTGTGGAATTTCGGTAATTCTGCTATAAATACAGAGGGGGTAAAGTTCTCCAGCATAAAATAGTTTTTGGAACTTATGTAGTACATTTGTAATATCGTCGTCTCAGAATGAAAAGGTTCTAACGCAATTTATGTAATTGTTCAGGGGAACGTTTTTAAGTAGGACATTGAATAACTTTTTTCACCATAATTACTAAATCGTGAAAATTGTATGCAATATCAAGAAAGTTCCAAAGAATACAACTTTATCTGCAAATTTGTCTTTCCTCAATTATTGACTGAGTTAATCATAAAAAACCAGAATATTAGTTTTAGAATTAAAAGGTTTTACGTGTAGAACTTTTTCATTCTGAAAATAAAAATTATTTATTTAGTTAGAACTTTTTCATTCTGATTTGAATCATTTTTTCTATGCAGTGATACCAACTTCTAGTGTAAACTATGTTATAAATTATACATTTTTTTATTATGCAATATTTTTAGTTTTTAAGTTAAGTATTATTATATTATAACATACCCGTATATGTAGTGGGCGGGGGGTCCCCCACCCCCCGGAATTTTTGTTGTTGTGTATGTGCCTGGACATACCTACTATAAGTAATAAGTTACAATTGTATGGTCCATTGGCGCAATTAGTGTAGGGAAGGGGGGTATATTGAAAACGCAACAATATAAATTAAACGGCATAAATCATAATTCACAATAATGAAAAATGTCAAAAACGTAATTCAAATTTAAATGTACCATTTCTTATAATACTAAAGTAGGTACTATATACATGTAGCATGTAGGTATTACCTACCTTATCACCTCAACAAAACAAAAATAGACGGTAAATTTATGCTGGAATGCTGGAATAATATTTTATTATGGCACAATAATAATTTATATTGTACCAGTGGTATAACCGTATTATAACGGTACCTTTTCATTCTGAGATATTACATTTAAGACCGTTTAGAACTATTTCATTCTTAATTATTGTTTAGAATGAAAAGGTTGTAACTGATATTTCTCGGTTTCGCGCTTATCATTCACGTTTTTATGAGTTAGAACCTTTTCATTCTCTGTATCTCATTGAATAATCAACGGATCGATCCGATTTCAAGATCGAATTATACAACAAAAAATTATAAATGATTATATGCAAAAAAACCATTTTTCGAAAAAATTGATTTAGAACCTTTTCATTCTGAGGTGACGATATGTAGACAACACATGCTGGTGTGACGTCCTCTTAATTAAAGGTTATTAATAAATTTACAAATTTTGTAAACGTATCTCCATGTCTATATTATAATATAATATATATTAAAAATTTTACCGGTTCTTGACACAAAGTATTTTGATTGTACGCCGGTTCCGTATAACATTTCTGATATTGTGGTAAATTCATTTCAAGATCGATAAAAAAAAAAAAAAAAAAAAATGGGTAAGATAACTTTCACAAAATTATTTCACGTGTCATTAAACATAAAATAAATAAATAAATTTTAAATAAATAAAAATAATAATAAATAATAATACATTTTTTATAAATGCTTATAAAAAAAATCTTGCCTACGTATTTTTAAATTGATATTGTAAAGGCGCGTCCGAGCGGCATGAGTATGAATACATAAATACATTTTCTACGGCTTTTTTTGATGCCGCGCGGCATAATTTCCGATCGGCCCAGTAGGCGGTCTACATCAAAAGAAAGCCGCTCTCCTATGCCGCATGTGTGTGGACGTATCGGCAAAGCCGCTCGGCATCAGTACTTAATTTTTAAGTTTTTAAATTATTTTTTAAGTAATTAGTAGCGGAACAAACATTTTCAAATGCCGCACCGTGAGGACGCGTATGTGCCGCGGGGCACGGAGCCGCCGGATCCCGCGGGGCCGTGCCGAGGGTCAAAAGCTGCTCCGTTTGGACGCGCCTTAACGATGAGCGATCGAGACGAGTGAGTGAGACATAGGTAGACAAACTTATGAGGAATCTCGTGTTAAATTTTCCGGTGGAGAACGATTTCACAAATTTGCGGAATCTTGTTTATTTTAATAGCCATTGAAATACATACACGATTCCGCATAATTTTAAATGCAACATTGCCATTCCGAATACAAAATATATATTATTGTAACTTAATTGTTTTAAAAATTACTTAACGAGTTCAAAAAAATCTTTAAGTTGCCCAGCCTTGCAAAATGATTTATAATATAATATTATGTTACAATAATATATATTTTGTTTTCGGAATGGCAACGTTACATTTAAATTTATACGGAATCGTGTATGTGTTTATGAAGTTTGCGGATCGCCAAATTTTCAAACCTTAGATATTATAAAAAGAAAATTTTTTTATGAATAATTCATTTTAAATGATTTCTAACTCAAAATAATTTGCAATTTTTCTCGAGTTTTGTCAATATTCTAACTTCAGTTGCTCAAATTTTTCTTTTACTTTACACTTACAACTATGAGCCAATTTTTTTTATTGACATTAGTTAAATTAAAATAACACAGATCGAAAATTTCATATGCCTATAAAAAGGTCAACATGACTCAAAATATTTTGAAAATGTTATGCTGTATAGGAAATACTAATATAAACATTCAGTAAAAATTGCATATATCTTCAGTAATTTTATTTAAGAGGTACAGAATTAACCAAAATCAATTTAATTGTAAACCAATTTTTAGTAAAAATACCCGTTTTTACTTAATTTTTTTTTTGTTTTCCCTGCACTTTTTAAAACTTCTGGGAATTTCAATTGACCTCCCAACTAGATTCACTAGAAGCATTTTTTCAACTACTTATCGTATACATGGAACCAAAAACAAAAATCACATCACTGTAAAATCACTAACATTATAGCTACATTGATATATTAATGGTACATCCTTTAGGCTCCTCTTAGAATCTAAATTATTATATAATAATATTATTTTTATTGATGAATTTTTAAAAAAAGAATATTATATAGGTAATATATATATTTTATTATTTATTTAAAGAAATAAAATATGAATATTGTATAATATATATATTTTATTATTTATTTAAAGAAATAAAATACCTATGTATGGTGCAAAATAATTTATCTCAAAATATTATTTTAAGGTATGTTTTGACAATTTATAAATAATATTATACAATCGTAATCTCCTAAGTCCTAATCAAAGGTTATTAATATTTGTAAACAACTATAATATTTAAAATTTTACCGGCTCTTGACACGTCTTCATTGAAGGTTTTTGATCACACTCCGGCTCCTTATAACATACTTTCTGATATTGTAGTGAATCCATTTCAAGATCAATAAAAAAAAATAAAAGTTTGGTTTTAAATTTAAATTTATTATACTGATACAGTGATACATTTTTCAAACACGACTGTTGTATATTATATTATATATGTTTAAGAAATAAAATATACCTACAGATGGTCGAAAATAATTTATCTCAAAATATTGTTATTAGTTATGCTTTGACAATTTATAGATAATATTATACAATAGTAATCTCCTAAGTCCTTTTTGAGGGTTGTTTTGTATTAATATTTGTAAACGATTTTAATATTTAAAATTATACCGGCTCTTGACACGTCTTCATTGAAGGTTTATTATCACACTCCGGCTCCTTATAACATACTTTCTGATATTGTGGTGAATTGATTTCAAGATTGATAAAAAACAATAAAAGTTTGGTTTTAAATTATTTTAATTGATACATTTTTAAAACATGACTGTTGTATATTATATTATTTATGTATAAGAAATTAAATAGACCTACGGATGGTGGAAAATAATTTATCTCAAAATATTGTTTTTAGCTATGCTTTGACAATAAGTACGTTATCCCCCCCCCAACCCTCCACCATTCGATTTTCATATTTTTTTTTGAGCTAATATTTAGTAAGCAATAAGTATGAAGTAGTATGACCATATTTAAAATTTGTTTTCGCTAACCCCGTGCTGGGGTAACGTACGTTTTGACGATTTATAAATAATATTATAAAATAGTAATCTCCTAAGTTCTAATTAAGGGTTATTCTGTATTCGTATTTGTAAATTACTATATAATATTAAAATTATACCGGCTCTTGATACGTCGTATTTGAATCATTTTGATCGCACGCTGGCTCTGTGTAACATTTCTGATATTGTGGTGAATCCATTTTAAGATCAATTGAAAAAAATAAAAGATTTTTTTAAAATTATATTTATTGATAAATTTTCAAAACATGACTGTTGTATATTATACTATTTATTTATAAGAAATGAAATATACCTACGTAACGTGGAAAATAATTTATCTCAAAATATTGTTTTTAGCCATGCTTTGACAATTTATAAATAATATTATACAATAGTAATCTCTTATATTATGTTTTAATCAAAGGTTAGGATTAATTTGTGTTAACGACAAATGGCGTATTATATATTTCTATATCTTTACTGCTATAATATATAAAATGAAGTCGCTTTTTTTTTTGTTCGGGATAAACTTAGAAACTACTTATTCAATCGTCGTGCAGTTTTTATTATATTAAAGAGGACATCACAAAGAAGGTTTTATGCATTAATTTAGTCCGATAAAGTTAATAAATAATTAAAATAAATGTGTAAATTGTATATCTATTTGTATATATTTTATTTTATTATACATATTGTACGGCACGGATCCCCATGGGTTTCCATTTACCTGGAACCTGACCTATTTCCTTTTGGGTGTGTTTTATCGGGGTTTAGTAAGTTCCCACACGAAACATAACAGGTGAGTGAGTACATAAGTAAGTTCCCTCACGGAAAAAAATACACCCACACGACAATTTATTCAGACTTAGGACTTACAACTTAAACGTAGTTGGTCCAAATATATAATAAAAATTAATAGTATAATGTGTGTAGGTATGGTCCTCATATTATTTGTACTTTCGCAAGCGTTTGTAGTAAGACTTGTAACAGAACTAGCACTAGCCCAAATACTAGGGGGGAACTATATCAACAACAACATATCAGATTATAACTTAAAAATAATTACACAGTACGTATGACTATGTGAAGGTGTTTCAACTTAAATAAGCCAAATAAAATGTAATATTTCCTATTACTATTATTATAATTATTATAACTATTATTATTTTATACTTATACAAATAATATGTGGACCATACCTACACATTATATTATTAATTGTTATTATATATTTGGACTAGATTCAATTAAAAAATTGATTGGACTTTTTTTATGCAACTTAAAAACAAACAAATTTTAACCACATCAACTACATTTTAATTGTCAGTCCTAAGTCTGAATAAAGTGAAAAGGAAGTTTGTATTCAGTGTAACTTTTTTCGTGTGGGAACTTACATTCGCCCATTGTATCGGAGTGTAGATATGAACTGTTTCGAGAAGTAAAATTCAACAATCCATCTATATACTATATTTATCTGGGGGACGGAATGGCTGAGTGGATTAAGGCATCGGTTGCGAGTTTGCGACACACACCAGCGCCGGTTCTTACGGAATTTTTCTTCGGGCAAGTCACGGTGAGCGGAGAGAAGTGCCGCCGTCCCCCGCAGTTTGGGCATGGCAGATACCTACGGGTGCCCACTAAAAAATCTGCGAAACCAAAACACACGTGTTTACAAATCTAAAATTTCTCCCCTACAAACCAAAAAACAAAAACAGCTAATGGCCTTAGTTGCCGGGCTTCACGATCAATTAAACAAAAAAACTATGTGTCTATCTATATACATATTTATAAATAAAATATAAATTTCTCTTGGACGCAGCATCACGCGTGAACGGCTGGACTGATATCGCTACTTCTTTTTTGTTGTGTTCGTTATTGTCAGAAGCAGGTTCTTAACTCTTAAGTAAGATCATTTTAAGAAAATCCACCCGAAAAGTAGGAAGTCTGGATGTAGGTGTCATCTGTCCAGTAAGAAAAGAAACTAAATAATAATATATTTTTGTTTATTGTAAGGTTGCTATTGGTCATGACGAATATAATTTTAGGCATGTAGCGATATAGCTTAGCAAAAATGGTTACCTAATTTTTTGACACTTGCACATCGTAATGTCAAAGTGTTAATAAAACATTCGTATGCATTTCTAGGGGTCTGCAATGCACCGGACGTGGATTGCCTACCTGAAAACAAACTGCGTGTCTCACGCATACAAAACATACAAGCGTGTCTCTCGGGTAATTATATATTCAAGATGATCGATGAACATTTTTAAGTTTTGAACATCATACATGACGTATGTGCACCGATTATTAAATAAACGAATTGAACAAAGTTTGAATCATATAGAGTTGGTACATATTTTAACGAGAAACGAAGTGAACGGGATCAGCTAAAATATATTATATACAATTAATGTGTTTTTGAGTCATTGAACTTATA